AGAGTTACTGTGGCCGGGAGCGGCGGGGCAGGGGCGCCAGTCCCAGAGGGGGTGGCCCTCTCATCCTGCTGGATCTCAATGGTATGTAGGGATCCTGGAATCTGGGGTGCTGTGGGGATAGAAGGAGGGTCCTGGAAGCCTCAGGCCAATACTCTCGGCATTTGTTCCCGCAGATGAGAACAGCAACCAGAGTTTCCATTCGGAAGGCTCCTTGCAAAAGGGCACTGAGCCCAGCCCTGGGGGCACCCCCCAGCCCAGCCGGCCTGTGTCACCTGCTGGACCTCCGGAAGGGGTCCCTGAGGAGGCTCAGCCCCCACGGCTGGGCCAAGAGAGAGGTAGGACCAGGTGCCTCCCAGGAAACCTCGCCTCTCCAAAGTTGACCCCAGCAGCTTATTACCCTTTACCTGTTTCCCCTCCCATGCTGACTCCTGGCGGGTGCCCTCCCTAACTCCTGCGGAAACTACCTCTAGTTACTGTCTCACTCCTCTGGGTCTTTGGATCTGTAGATAATATATCACCATCTGGAATTTTCATGCAAATTTACTAGTTTTTCATCTTTTTCTATACTCTCATCTCACTCTCACTTCAGCTTCTTAAATGTTGGGCCCATACTGATATTGTTACTGTACCCTCAGGATTCAAAATACATAATAGGTGCTCAACAAATATTTGTTGAGTGATTAAATAATGGTAATTATAGGACTAATTATCATGGGGATAGTAACAGCTAATATTTACTGAGCTCTTACTGTGTATGTGTGTGGTTTTCTTGTGTTCCTTAAGTCTTTTTAAGAATTATTCTATTTAACTTTATTTGTTTGTTTATTTAAATTTGACCAGAGAGGGACAGAGAGAGAGGCGGAAAGTGACAAAACAAACTGCCAGGTCCAGGGCTCAAACTGCGGTCCACCATACTGAAAGTGTAGAAAGTGTAGCACTCTTTTTTATTTTTTGGAGAGGTTGTTGCCACCTGCAGGCCCAAGTCTTTTTTTTTAACATGTATTTGTTTATTTGTTGTGATTTTCTTTCTTTCTTTTTAAAGAGGTTTCTGCTAAAGGGTATGTAAGCTCGCCAGAAAGAGAGACAGAGAGACAGAAAGCAAGAAATCACCCTGGGGGGGGGTGGCCATACCACAATCCCTTCTCTCAGGATCTTGGGCATGCACACACACACGCCCAGCATGAGTTTAAGCTACTGGGGCCAGGACTTGAACCGCGGTCAACTACATGGGAGTCCAGCGACATAGCCATTACGCTAACTGCTGGTTCTGTATTTGTTGTGATTTTCAAGACTCCACGTCAAGGACTTGAACTGTGTTTGGCCATGTGGGATTCCAGGGCTTTAACCACAACACCACCTGCTCCTTTCTTACTGTGTGCGTTTTTTCTCCCTCATTGAATCCTCTCTACAACCTTTTAAAGGTTTTGGTCCCTATTTACATATGAGGAGACTGAGACTCAGAGAGGTTTAGTAAATTGTACCAGCAGGTGGCATGGTGGTTAAGGGCGCTGGACTCCCACATGCTCGAATGCAGTTCAAGTCCCAGACCTGCCAAGTTGCTTTCTCACTTTCCCTCTCTGTCTCTATCTCTCTCCCTCTGTCCTCTGGTCAAATTAAAATAAATAAAGTTAGATAAAATAATTATTTTTAAAAAATCAAGAAGTTTATAGTAAATTGCCCAACCTCACATAGCCAGGGAGCCAACATCTGGGCGTGAGTCTTCCTCAGCTACTCTTTCTTCCATAGGGTCTGTATCACCTCCAAAATGTGTCTACCTGCCTCTACTTCCCCAGGCCCTGCCCTGGCCCTGGCCTTCCCAACTCTCACCTGTACCTGGCTGGCCTCATTACCTGGGCCTAGATGGTGCCACATACCTTTGCTGTACATACAGAGGGACTCCAAAATGTTCATCGAAAACGTGACACAAAGGACAGGTTTATTTTGGTGCGATAAATATTTTTGAAACCTATGAGTTTTTTCATAATACGCATTTTTCTTTTTTTTTTTCAACACAAATCCATTTTTATTCATTTACTTTTCATTATTTTAAAACCTCGAGGTGTACAGCATCACACATATTCTGTGTCCAATAGCCTTAGCAGGAAGGTTGCTTCGGAATTTGGCTCGAACCATGCCACTGTTTCCATGGGCATGGGTAACCTTTCCCTAGATTACTCTGGTTTTAATTGGTTTGCCACCAGAAGTCACTGTGTTGTTTTTGCTTTGTACACATAAGCACACCTCTTGCCTAAATAGAATTTCGTTTCATCTCGTGCATAAACACCTTCAGTTTTAAGAAGAGCTGTATGCTCCCTTTGGTTCCCGAAACCCCGCTTATTGCAGCAAAAATGGCCTTGGACCACAGCCTTCCAGACATAGTTGCCTTTTAGAAGTCCTGTTCCCAGAGGCCTCCACAGGCTCCAAGATGGCGGAAAGAGGGATAATACGCATTTTTCTTAAACTTGAAGATTCCCCTGTATGAAAATGATAAGTAGCATTTATTGAGTACTTAACTATGTACCAGATGCTATGTTAAGGGCTTTTCCTTATGATTTCATTTAATCCTTATGAAAGTCTCATATGGGAATTACCGTCATCTCCCTTTCACAGATGAGTAAACTAAGGCCCAGAGAAACTGAGTAACGTGCCCAAGGTCAGGATTTGCGCCCTTCAGTCCCAGCCCAGAATTTGCTCACAAAGCATGTGTCCCTTCTGCCTAGACTGTGCTCCATCTTGTTTGTCCACCGGACAGGACCCTCCGTACCCTCCAGGTCGCACATGCGTGCACTGTCCTCTGTCTACTGCCTGGACTGCAGCCGTGTTCTGGCTCTTCACTGCTCCCACACCCCTGGCTGATGGGATGGGTTCTTGTCTGTGTTTTTGCTCCTTCATGCACCGAGTGGCTATTCAGGCAATGTCTGTTGACTCAATGTTCCAGACCCTGAGGGCATAACCGCAGGCGGCACAGATGAGCCCCCAATGCTGACCAAGGAGGAGCCTGTTCCAGAATTGCTGGAGGCTGAGGTGAGAGACACGGGAAGGCTGGACTCCTGGGTCTTGGCGGGAATGGGGGCTCTGAGGGGGTGGAAGGCTTGGAGACTGCATCCTGAGGTCCAGGAGAGAGATGCAGACCAGGACCCAGCTAAAGGCAGAGAGTTGGGTTCTTGGGTCTGATAAAGACAGGGTGAGTTAGAGACAAGTCCTGAGGGCTGCATCAGGGCTGACTGAAGGCCATTAAGAGCCTGAAAAGATCATGGTGCTCTGCGAGGTTTTTATTTTTTAAAGTATCTTCGACTGTGAAATTAGCTTAAGAGAGTCCCTCATCAACTTCTGACTGACAAGGACTACCTTGATGCATTTTTCAGAAATACCAGATTCAAAAGTATCAGATTCTTTCCCCCAGACAGTGTTGCTGCTGCTGCTGTTTTCAGCCCTACCTAATCCACACCTGGGGTGCCTGGCCCTGGGCTAGCCTCCTGGGCCCGGGAGGGGAGAGGAGTGGAGGCTCTGGAGATGCAAAGGCTAGGAGGCTGGGCTCCTGGGTGCGAGTGGGGCTCACGCCTGTCCGCCCTTCCTCTCCAGGCCCCTGAAGCTTACCCCGTCTTTGAGCCAGTGCCATCTGTCCCTGAGGCAGCCCAGGGTGACACAGAGGACTCGGAGGGCGCCCCCCCACTCAAGCGCATCTACCCAAATGCCCCTGACCCCTGAGAAGCCAGCCTGCCTGTCCTGTCGCCCCAGGGACCCCTTTGGCTTTTTATAAATAAAGACCCTTTTGTAATTTCGTGTCATGTCATTTCCCCGTCAGGGCTGGGGAGGGTCTTTGGAGACAGTTTTGTCCCATGTTCTATTTCTCAGATGGGGTCACTGAGGCTCTGAGAGGACCTTCTTCTAGTCAGTCACACACACATCAGATGTGCAGTGGGGGCTTGAGCCAGGACCCTGCCTCCCCAACACTGCTCCCTCCCTGTCCCGATCCTTTGCCTTTTAACCTTCCTTGACCTTCACCCTCCTCTGGGAATCCCAGGACCCGTCTTTGTCCTGTTCAGGCCTCTGCTGAGCCCAGCAGGTATGAAAGCTCTGGGCTGGGAACCCATGCTTCCCATGTCATACACAGGACACAGAGGCTTAGAGGGACGCAGGGGCCCGCGATGACCTGACCTGTTCCCTGCCCTCAGGAAACCACATTGTGCCTCCCTGCCTTTGCTCAGCTTCTCTCCTACCTGGAGCCCCTGGCCACACTTCTGGTTGAGTTCTACTTGTCCCTGGCTCAATCACACCGCCTCCAAGAAGCCTTCCCTGACCCTAGGCTCAGTCAATTTCCCCTTTCCTTGAGCTCCTACAACGCCTTGGACTTCCTTCGTTTTGGCATTTCTCAGGCTGTTTGGGGATCATCGGTTTGTGTCTGTCTTGTCCACTAGGCTGTGGGCTCCTGAGGACAGAACTGGGTTCCCAGCCATGCCTAGCACAACAGTGGGACCAGAGCAGTGGCAGCAGCTGCTTCATGAATGGATGAATAGGTGAATGGGCTGGAGTTATCTGGAAGGCTTCTCTGAGGAGATGGCATGTGAGCCTGGTGTGGAAACATAAACCTCAGTGTGGTCTATGTGAAGTCAGAAGCCCTGGTTTAGGTCCTGGCCATGTCATTACTCATCTAGTGGTTCTAGGCAGGCTATTTCTACTCTCTGAGCCTTAGTGTGTTCATCTGTGCAATGGGCACAGTAACTAGGTCTCACCTACCCCAGTGGTTATGGAAACATTCAGATAATATAGGTCCCTCTTCTCTGTGCCTGGGTCAGTGTATAAGTCCTATTTTTGCCTTTTTTTTGGGGGGGGAGGGGAGTGGTTTTTGCTATAGGGCACGTGTGCTCACCAGAAAGACAGAGACAGAGAGCGCGAAATCTTATCATGCTTATCATCCAACATCTCTGCTGTGAATTGTCTGTTCATGAACCTATTTTTCTTTTTTTTTTTTCCGGAGAGGTTTTTGCTATAGGGCACGTGTGCTCACCAGAAAGACAGAGACAAAGAGACAGAAAGCAAGAAATCTCCCTCCAATGGTGATGGCCACGCTGCAATCCTTTCTCCTCCATTCTCCTCTTGGGATCTTGGGCACACACACGCACCCATCGTGAGTTTAAGCCACTGGGTCTGGGACTCGAACCACAGTTGACTACATAGGAGCCCAGTGACATAGCCATTATGCCAACTGCTGGTCCCCCTATTTTCACTTTTAACAAAGGAAGACAAGACACTGAGGTTGAGAGAACTGAGCTGGGATGTGAAAGACCATTTAAAAACGTAAGGGTGTTTCCTGATGGCAGCTTTAACGGTGGAGCTGCACTGCACAGGAAGCCAGGTGTGCACTGATGTGGGTATTCGGTTCCTGGTGCTGCTGTCACAAACTACCAGCTAGTGACTCAAAGCCGCACATGTTCATTGTCTTACAGTTCTGGAGGCCAGAGGCTAAAATTAGTCTCACTGGACTAAAGTTGTCTGTCAGCAGGGCTGGTTCCTTCCGAAGGAGAGGAGGAGAGAACCTGTTTCCTCGCCTCTTCCACCTTCCAGAGGCCCCTGCATTCCTTGCTTATGGCCCCTCCCTCCTTGTTCAAATTGGAATATGGAGTGTGGCACCTTCCAATCCCTCTCTGCTTCCATCACCCCATCCTCCTCTGGCTCTCCTGTGCCGTCGTGTAACAGCCCTTGTAATTACGCTGGGCCCGCGTGCATGACATAGACACTTCCCATCTTAGTATCTTTAATCACATCTGCAGAATCTCCTTTGCCACATACAGTAACATATTCATAGGTTCGGGGGGGTGGGGAGGTAGGCCTCCTGAAGGGCCATTATTCAGCCAAGCATGTGTGATCATCTCAGCCACTGTTTGGGTGGGGGTCCCCTCATTACTCTCCTTAACCAGCCCTCAAGGTGGAGTGCTCTGTCGACTGTAATGTGCCTCGTATGGGTTAGTAGTTCAGTGTGAAGGCCCGGAATTCAGGTTCTGGGTTTGAATTTCATCTGTTCATTTGCTGTATGGTCTTGAACAAGTGACTTACTGACTTCTGTGCCTGTTTTCTTCTCTGTACAATGGACACATCAGCCTGGTGAGACTATCGTGAGGAATACATGAGGCGACAGGTGGAGTCTCCTTGGCTTGCACATAGTTAAGTGCTCAATAAATGGTGGTTGTTTTCCTATAACCCCATTTTAGAGATGAGGATACTAGCATGTGGGGATAGAGGCCAGAGACTCATCTGTCAGCAAGGCAGGGAAAGGAATGCTGGCCCTGGATGGTATATCCATTTCTGAGCAGTCTCGAGAGGCTAACCTGTGAGTGTCCCTTACTCCTGTTCCTGTCCTGGTCACAGGCAACTGTCCTGAGCCCAGTCTGCTACCACCCTCTCAGTAGCCCGTTCTCTAACCTAGTTTAAAAGCCATCTCTTCCAGGCCAGCTGGTGGCATGGTGGTTAACGTAGCTTGATCCCATATGGCCAACTGTGTGGTTCAAGTCCTGGACCCAGCAGCTTGAAAATATACCCAACAAGTGTGTATGCCCAAAATTGTGAGAGGAGAGTGGAGAAGAAGAGAGTGTGGTGTCATCCTCCTGGGGGTGATTTCTCACTTTCCCTCCCTCTTTCCCCCTCATTCTCTCTCTGAGGAATGCACACACCCTATAGCAAATGAAAAATTTAAAAACCTATCTCTTCCACAGCCATCTCCCTGACTCATCACCTTGCTAGGCTCTCCCAATGTCTACATTCTTTTTGGAAATTCTCCCCACCTGGTGTTCAGGCCCTGGTCTCTGAGTGCTCCCGTGTCCCCTCCCCACTGTACCTCGTCCCTCACTGGTTTTCCTCCTCTTCCTCATGCCTACTTAAACGTCTCTTGCTGGCCTCGCTCTACTCCTCATGAACACTCTCCCTGCTGGGCCTCACCCACCCTCTGAATTAATGGCTCCTAATTCTCTGTCTCCAAGCTCTTCTCCTACCTCCAGGCCCAAAGAGCCAATGGCTGTGAAACATCCCCACTGGGATGTCCCACGGACCCTCAGCCTCACCTTCCCCCCAACCCACTCCCACCATCCTGTAACTGCAAGTGGCCCCATAATGCGAGGAGCTGGCCAAGATGGGAACACATGGGAGTCAGAGCCCACATCTGTGATTCCCGTGTCCTGCTAAGTCTCTGTCCTAAGTGATGCCCCAGTCTGCCCTTTCCTCAGGCCGCACTGCTCTGCTAGGTGCCTGCTTCACTCTTGCTCTCCAATCCATGATCCCTGGCAGCTGGGCAATCTTTCAGAAACCCAAATTGGTCTGTGATGCTGCCCAAGGTTAGGACTTCCTGTTTCTCCCTGTTACCTGCAGGATGGATGGATATCACACTGTGCTACTCCCACCCCACCTACAGAAAATCCCTGAACTGCCTATAATCACCCTGAATGCATTCCACTGTCTCCCACCTCTTAGCTTTGCTTGTGTTCTTCGCTCTTCTTACTCCTTTTTATTCTATTATAGAGTTTTTAACTTGTATAATAGAGAAATTAAAAAGCAAGAATTCAGTAGTTGAAAGAAGTGTATAGGTAACACACATATACCACCACCTAGATCCTGTAACACCCCACTCCATGTACTTTATCACATATCCTAGTCATCCATCTTATCCTTGCTACATTTCAGCATAAGCTGCACAGTGGTACCCATCCCTCTGAACACTTCGGCATGTACCTCGCTAACTAGAGTCCAGCACTCATTCACAGGGATTCTCCCCTTTGAGGTAACACAGCCACATACTGAAATGCACAAGTGCTTATGACTCGGTGGGTTTTAACAAATGTATATACATCTGCAGAAGGCAAGCTTATCAAAGACAGCACATCACCACCGAAAGTTCTCTACTGTCTCTTCCCCTTCCTCAACTTCCCAGAGGCTACCCTTGTTCTGACATTTTTTTAAAGGTTGTGTAACCTACCACCTCACTTAACACAGTTTTTTTTTTAAGAATTATTTATTTATTTACTTATTTAATTCCATTTATTATTATTTAATTTTACCAGAGAGAGAGAAAGGGAAAGGGAGAAAGCAAGCCACCAGGTCCAGGACTCAAACCACAGTCGGCCATGTGAGAATCCAGTGCCTTTACCACATCACCTGCTGGCCCCTTATTTTATTTTTAAACCACAGATTTGGTTAACTTGTTCTAGAACTTCTTATAGTTGAAATTTTACAGTATGTACTTCTTTGCATTTTTTCTTTTCAATTTTTGCTATAGTGTGCGTGCACTTGCCAGAGAGAGAGAAAGTGAAAAAGCACCCCTTAGGGGATATGGCATGCTGAAATCCCTCTCCTTCATTCTCCTCTCCAGATTTTGAGCATGCACACACACATGCATCAGCATGTTTTTAAAGGTGCCAGTCCAAGATTCACTCCACACAGCTGGCCATGTGGGATCCACTGTCTTAACCTCCACACCATCTGTTGGCCCCTGCATGTGTTTTCTTATTCAGTAGAATGTTCTTAAGGACCACCCATATTATTGTACTTTGTTCTTCTTTGCTGCTAAGTTCCATAGACTTGGGTTTGACCAGGACAACTGCTGGGTAGAGAACCTCCCTATACAAGCCTGTTAAACTCAGGGCTCAAAGACCCAGGTGAGTATACCCCCGAGAGAGACAGCCTTTTCTCAGGAAGTTTCTAGAATGGAGAGGCCATGGCATAAATCTCACTAGATTAGAAAGACAGAAGTGTATCAAGATTGAGGGTGATCAAGCATCCTACTTTGCCTGG